GCGCGAGGCTCGGGGGACTCGGCCCGGGTTGTGCCAGGGGGGGAGGCCCTCTGTTGCTGCACGTGCGCACGCCGCCCATCGAGAGCAAGAAACCTCTCGGAGGATGCGGCCCCGCGGCATGGCCCGAAGCCGATACCCAACAGGATCTGCGCACAAGAGTCTAGTTGGGGCAGGCGCTGCAGCGGCTGTGTTAGGATCTGTCTGCATCTGCGGAACGGGCATCGGATCCGGCTGCATCGGCACGGAGTCGAAGCCGAATCGCATTGGCCGCGCCAGGATGCACAACAGACAACATCACCATGCAACTATCGGGTTGCATCGTTTCGTCGGAATCTGTCAGAATCGACTCGGATCGGGTAGCCCGAGATCGGTATCGAGCCAGATCGATCGAACCGACATAGGCATTGTTGCAATGGCTGAGGACACGCGCCCTCTCCCAAGCCTTTTACATCGCCAGCCTCTTCTCCTCCGCCAGCTGCTGCAGCCTGGTGTTCCCGTACGCCTGGACGACCGACTCCTCCTCCCTCAACCTCCTCCAGCTTGTCGATCTGCTCTTCGAGGTCTTCCTGCCTCTCGGCCGCGAATTCCAGTATCCGCTTCTTCAGGCGAAGCACAGGAGGTGGTAGGAGGCGGCCTTCCACGAATCCCCCCCGGCTTCTTAGAAAGCGTGGAAAGTATGTGTGATCCCGGGTCGAAGTTTCACAAGTCCCCGCCCCCCAGTTGGGATGGGTCCCAGGGTTCCATCGGGCCCACCCCTTCCCAGATGGGATGGGGGGGGACGACGACGCCGAGACAGACGCCGACGCCGACGCCGACGCCGACGCCGCCAGACGCCGACGCTGACGCCGACGCCGACGCCGACGTCACCGCCGACGACGACGACGACGACGACGCCCACGCCCACGCCCACGACGACACCGACGCCGACGCCGACGCCGACGACGACGTCGCCGCAGACGCTGACACCGACGCCGACGCCGCTGCCGACGGCGACGGCGACGGCGGCGCCAATGCTGACGCCGACGGCGACGCCGACGGTGACGCCAACGCCGACGCCGACGACGCAGCCACCGCTGCCGACGCCGACGCCGCCGACCGACGCCGACGCCGACGCCGACGCCGACGCCGCCGCCGCCGCCGACGCTGACGCCGACGCCGACGCCGCCACCGACGCCGACGCCGACGCCGACGAACGCTGCCGCCGACGCTGATGCCGACGCCGACGCCGCCGCCGAAGATGACACCCCGCCGCCGCCGACGCTGCCGCCGACGCCGATGCCGCTCCACCGCCGCCACCGCCGCCGACAACGCCGACTCCGACGACGACGCCGCCGACGACGACGCCGACGCCGACGTAGACGCCGACTCTGACGCTGACGCCGGCGTAAACGCCGCCGCCGCCGACGCCGACGACAACGCCAACGCCGATGCCGACGGCGACGCCGACGCCGACGCCGACGCCGCTGACGTCGACGCCGCCTCCGCCAAAGCCGCCGCCGACACCGACGCCGCCGCCGACGACCACGATGCCGACGCCGACGCCGCCGCCCTCGCCGACTCCGCCGCCGACAACGCCGACTCCGACGCCGCCGCCGCGGACGCCAATGCTGACGCCGCTGCCGCCGATGACGACGCCGACGCTGACGCAGACGCCGACGCCGCCGCCCTCGACGCCGACGCCGACGCCGACGCCGCCGCCGACGAAAGCGACGCCGCCGCCGACGCCGACGCCGGCGCCGACGCCGCCGCCGACGCCGACGACGACGCCGCCGACGCTGACGCCGATGCTGACGCCAACGCTGACGCCGACGACGCCGACGACGACGACGACGACGTTGTCCACGCCGTCGCCGACGGTGACGCCAGACGGCGCCGCCAGACGCCGACGCAGACGCCCACTCTGACGCCGAAGCCGCTGACGACGACGACGACGACGTTGCCCACGACGTCGCTGACGCCGACGCCGACGCAGCCGCCAGACGCCGACGCAGACGCCGACGCAGACGCCGACGCCAACGCCGACGCCGCCGCGACGACGATGATGACGACGATGCCGACTGCGACGCCGACGCTGACGCTGCCGACGCCAACGCTGACGCCGACGCCGATAGACGACGACGACGACGACGACGACGACGACGACGACGACGACGAAAACGACGACGATGACGATGCCAACGCCGACGCCGACGCCGACGCCGACGCCGACTCCGACGCCGACGCAGACTGACGCCGACTACGACGACGACGGCGGAGACGATTACCACGACGTTGGCCACGACGATGACGCCGCCGCCGACGCCGACACCGACGTCGACGCCGTCGCCGACGCTGACGCTGACGCCGACGCCGACGCCGACGCCGACGCCGATGCCCACGCCGACGCCGAGGCCGACGCCGAGGCCGACGCCGCCGCCGGCGCAGCCGCCGACGCAGCCGCCGACGCTGACGCCGACGCTGACGACGACGCCGACGCCGACGCCGCCGCCGACGCCGACGGCGACGGCGGCGCCAATGCTGACGCCGACGCAGCCCACGCAGACGTCAGCACCGACACCGACGCTGATGCCGACGTCGACGCCGACGCCGACGCCGCCGCCGACGCTTATGCCGACGCCGACGCTGACGCTGCCGACGCCGACGCCGACGCCGACGCCGATGCAGACACCGACGGCGACGCGGCTGGCGCCGACGCCGACGACGCCGACGCCGACGCCGACGCCGACGCCGACGCCGACGCCGACGCTGCCGCCGACGACGCCGACGTCGACGCTGATGCTGACGCTGCCGACGCTGGCGCCAGACGCCGACGCTGCCGACGCCGGCGCCGACGCCGACGCCGCCGACGCCGACGCCGACGCCCATTGACGACAACAACTGACGCCGTCGACGCCGACGCCGCCGCCGACGACGACGACGATGCCGACCTCGCCGACGACGATGCCGACGCTGACGCCGACGCTTACCCCGACGCTGACTTCGCCGCCGCCGCCCTCGCCGACTCCGCCGCCGACGCCGATGCCAACGCCGCCGCCGACAACGACGGCGACGCCGACGCCGACGCCGACGCCGGCGCCGACGCCGACGCCGACGCCGACGCCGACGCCGATGCTGCCGCCGACGACGACGCCGACGACGACGACGCCGGCGCCGACGACGACGACGACGACCCCACTTCCACAGGGGGAGGGGGGGTGCACTGGCACCCTCCACCACGCCACGTTCACAGGGCCACGACCACATGGGGGTGGGAGCAATCCCAGTCGCGAGGCCTTCGCGAGGCTTACTGGCGTACGCATCCAGCGGGGGGGGGTGGGGCTCGATCCTATATGCATTTGAAGGGGGGTAGGGGGGTCAATTTTGAATCATATACGACTTCGTCCGGCTTGGACCCAACCATGTGCAAATGTCAGTACCACAAGGCAGGTGGGACGAGGAAGGGGGGAGCTCGCCATGGGGCCACGACACGCGAGAGGGGTGTTCCAAACAGGGCGGAGGGACGCATGCGGACCCTGGCACTTGGGCTTTAGTTGGGGCTCCTTATGGGGCCACGAAACGTGTCAGATGTGTGCCGAAGTGATTGCTTTTGTTAGGTCTTTTTTTGAAGCCACGATGCGGATGCGTGTGAGGGAGGTGCCGACATGTGAAGCGGGAACTCACGTGAACCTTGGCAAAAGGGTTTAGTTTTGGTGTGAGTTGGTGCTCCCTATGGGGCCTGCGTGTGGGGGGTGTCACAAAATAGAGAGGTGGGAACTCATGTGGACTGGCATTGGAGCCTTACTTGGAGCTCCTTCCGGGGCCGCGAAACGTGTGAGGGGTGCCGAAATTAGAAGCGGGAGCTCATGTAAACTCTGGTATTGGGGCCTTAGTTGGAGCTCCTTATGTGGCCACGAAGCGTGTGCGGGGTGGGCCGAAGTATTGGGATGCGGGAACTTTTGTGAAATGTTGCATTGTGGCCTTAGTTGGAGCTCCTTGCGTGAGGTGTGAGGGGTATGCCGAAATGAGGGACAGGAGCTCATGTGAACTCTGGAATCTGGGCCTAGGTTGGATTCTCCGTGGGGCCACGAAGCGTGTGAGGGGTGTGCCGAAGTGAGATGTGGGAACTCATGTGATCCCTTGCATCTGGGCCTTGGTTGGTTCTCCCGATGGGGCCACGAAACGCGTGAGGGATGTGCCGACATGGAAAGCGGGAACTCATGTGGACTTTGGCATTTGGGCCTGAGCTGGGGCTCCCTATGGGGGCCCCGACACGTGCGAGGAGCGTGCCGACACGGGAGGCGAGAGCTCATTTGAATGTTGGCATTTGGGCCTGAGTTGGGGCTCCCTATGGGGCCACGACTTGTGCGGGGGGCGTGCCAACATGCGAGGCGGGAATTCGTTCGAACTTTCGCATTTGGGCTTTCGATGGGAATGCTCATGTGGCCACGCAACGTGTAAGGAAGGGGTGCGCCGATTTGAGACGTGTGAGCTCATGTGAACTTTGTCATGTGGGCCTTAGCTTGAGCTTCCAGTGGGGCCACGAAACGTGCGAGGGGTGAATCGAAACGAGGGATTGGAATATAGGTGAATTTTGGAATATGGGCCGTCGGTGGAGCTGGCATGTTAACCTTAGCTGGGGCTTCCCATGGGGCCACGAAGCGTGAGAGGGGTGTGCCGAAGTGAGATGCGGGAGCTCATGTAATCTTTGACATTTGGGCTTTCGCTGGTGCTCTTTTTGAGGTCATGGAGCTTGCGAGGTGTGCGCCGACATGATAATCGGGAGCCCATGTGAACGTTGGCATTTGGGCCTTAGCTGGAGCTCCCTATGGGGTCGCGATACATGTTAGGGGCGTCCCGAACAGAGGTGGCAACTCAGATGAACTCGGGCATGCTGGCTTTAACTTGAGCTCCCTGTGGGGCCACGAGGGGTGTGAGGAGTGTACCCACATGAGAGGCGGGAGCTCTTTTGAACTCTTGCATTTGTGGCTTATTGGGGCTCCCCCACGGGCCACGGAATGTGC